ATACGTCCTTCACCCGCATTAGGGTGAATCCCATAACCCCCTGTTTCCCCCGAATAATCGTTGGGGGCGGTGTTCGGATGAAGCAAAAGGAAGTTCAATAAAAAATAAAAAACCCTTAGGATCGACGGGAACCAGAAAATTGTACTGTATGACGTCAACGCCGAATACTATCCGAAAGCGCGTTCCGTACTCGTACTCGTACTCGTATCGAAACGCCTGTTTTGAATTTGCTCGCTGGTCGCGAGCTCAACGGTCGGCAGGATCAAGCTTCGTTGTTAGTAGTAGTTGTTCGGCGTGACTGGACCGAACCAGACCAAGTACGAATGGATTGTTCTTCCTTTCACCGGGCCCTTCTCCGTGCCGGTATGACGGCTAGTTAGTACGTCACCCTACGTACGGTGCCGTAGGTTGCGCACCGTACAGTACTCAACAGGTCCGTAACACCGCAATTCCKCCAACTCCCACCAAAACTTATGCTGTACGAGTACTTGTACTACAAGTACGGTACTTTACCGTAAGACGAAGCCAACTTGAAAACGAAGGATCAGAATTGCCCAACAGAACCGAGGCGACAAGAAAAGACAAGACAAAACAAAACAAAACAAAACATAACCGACTCCCGTCCGTTCCACTCGGATGCCTCGAAACACCGGGCACCACCACCGACAGAAAGGAACCTATAGAAGGGACGCCTACCAAGGACCCCTTCTTCAACACACAACAACAGTCTCTTCTACGGCATTCGGTAGACGCAACAATACGCAGCACTAGCACTATAACTAGCTCAATAACTAGCTCAATAACTAGCTCAATAACTATCACTATCACTAGCACAATGACAATGAATCTCCAAACATTACGGGTCAACCCGGATTTCGAGCTCGGAATCAACGGAAGAAAAGACGATGAAACCTACATAATAAGCGACAACGACGATGCGGACGAGGAGGACCGTGGCGATACCGACACGGGCCTTGCCGATGAATTCGACGAGCACGCGCTGAAGCTCAGCCCCTTGTCGAAGTCCTTTCGGGACAAGAAGGCCCACCAGTACCACATGATGATCAACATGACACTCGAATTGGTTCGCGACATGACCATGGCCAAGAAAAACGACAAGGTCCTCACCAACTACGGAGAGGGCGTGCTTTTGTCGCGCAACGGAGTGAACGGGAGCATGGAAATCCAGCTACCCTTTGGAAAGCTCTTCCATCGCCAACCAGAAATGGTGCACAAATTGATCTCTCCCGCGGAGTACGAGCAAGCCATCGAACACCTGGAAGAGGTCCGGAAACTATCTCTGACCGAGCTGTCGCAGCAATGGAACGTTCCCATTGTCATAGGAGAGGCGTGCATCGCTTGTTTGTTCGACAAACCCTTCTGCAAGACGGGGAAGGGAATATCGTCGGACARCACCACGATTGCCAGCCGGTCCGCGGCGGCATTYGCCAAGTCTAGAAACATGCGGTCCTGGTTCGGCCGATTCTCCTCGGCATCGACGTCGACGGTGCAGTCGAACTCGAACGTAGCGGCCTCGCTCGTCAAGGAGCAAAACGGAATGCTCAAGAAGAAAAAGAAAACCACGAGGACGAAATTCTGCGACGTTTGCGGGAATCCGGTCTGCTCGAAACACATCATACCGAGCACGGGGGGGCAGCAATTCCGGATGTGCGTCGATTGCCAGTTTGATTTTTCGCAGATGTTCGAAACAACGAGCTCCGGAAAGATGACGCAGGGCGGGGTCAACTCCAACCTTCTCGATCTGGACCACATTCCGCACCTGACCCAAACCCTGGACCGTTTGCTGACCTATTACACGAGGATGTCTCTGCATCTCACCTTTTGCGCTCCGAACCTGAGGGAAYTGGCGGAGCGACTGACCCGAACGGAACACACCAACTCGAAGATTGCGCTCGGAACGGGGGGCATTTCCTTTGTGGGTGCCGCGCTGGGAGTGGCMGGAGCGGCCGCGTTGCTGACACCCGCGGGGCCTCCCCTCCTCCTCGCCGCCGTTGCTACCTCKGCGAGTTCGGCCGCCATACAGGGGGGKCAGGCCGGGTACAAYGCCCTATTCAACATGAGCCTGAAGGAAGCCAACCAGCTGGCCGATCGCATCATTGGTTGGCACGGTTTGTGCCTGGGAATCCTGGACGCACTCGAGCAACTGAGACAGACCCTCCTGCAACAGGTACTGRCCATTACCCAAGAAGAAAGAAACAGCGGCGTCTCGGGAAACAGCCTGGGCGATACCGGCAGGATCGATTCCTTTTCGAGCGGAACGGAAAACACCGAAGGCAGCGAGAGCAACACCAGCGACGATGGGTTGGAGGACGAAATGGCCCTCGCGARGAAGAATGCCATCAAGCACGGGCAGCAACTCGAAAAAGACGCATTGCTTTTGCGGCAGGTCGTGAACAGCAGGTCCAGGAGCAACARGAGCACGGCGGAACAATCCCTGGACGTGCTCAACACACTGGCCCTCGGAACGTATCACACAACGCGAAACGGTTTGACGGGAGTGGTAAGTMTTGCGGGTTGGMAGGATGYCCGGATCGWAATGYTGYACACGATTCGGAAGGATCCCAGGCACGCGGATTGTAGATMACTATGCAGTATATRTWTTTTTTTAAACTCACACGCGTTTGATTGCTGCGAYATCGATGCGACAGGGCCTGACCGCTTCCATGGGAGCCTCGTATTCTCAGATGCTCAATGCTTCCATCCAAACGGTTCCCGTGGTAGGAGGAGCCTTTTCGCTGGGATGCATGGCGATGGACGCGTCCAACATTGCCTCCACCSTTCAAAAAYTACARAAACCGGCCTCCAAGGCGATCGCCCTCCACCAGGTCCTCGAATCCTTTACCGTACACATACCCTCGACCATCCAGAGCGAGGTCGAGGCCTTGCTCGGGGCGATCAACGAATTGAAGGAGCGGCAAGAAGTAGTCCAGCGCAACCAGCAGCAAGACCTGATTGAGCAAGAACTGGAAGAACTGAACAACATATAACAAGCAAGCAAGCAAACACACACAAAACAGACGAGGAGACAACATGTATTACTATCGAGAATTATATACATATATATATGCATACAGTACAAGTATTCCATAAAGACCGTCGCACCAYCCCACAGGTGGGCTGTTGGATAGAAACGAACCGAAAAAGAGAAACGGTGTTCTCTTTCGCGCCAACAACAAAGGGGGAACGCASCAAGGCATTCTCTCGGGCATCCGTATCAACACTTTTTTAAAAATTAGAGCACAGATTATCTACATGTACCCGTACGTTCGTGCCTGCTTCTATGGTATCTCCGGCAGCACTCTCCGTTGTCGCGGGACCCTTTGCCGGGTTGGAACGCGCATACAGGTGCAGAGAAACAAAGCATCCCTGTACCTGTRCGACCCGTAGAGCCCGCCACGATACATTATATAGGACTACTAGTAGCCCCCACCACCGTCGCCAYTGCCCTGATAGTTGTGCGGCGACGGTCCTCTGTATCCGCCGCCACCGCCGCCTCGGTAGTTGTTTCCGCCCTGGAGGCTCCTATTGATGGCCTGCTCGATGTTTCGATCGAACATGGTGGACCAGCCCACCAGCCTGGGAATGGAATACTCGAGGATCGACCTAAGCACCTGGTACTCACCAATCATGAGGCGTATTTCGAAGGGGCCTCTCTGTTGGTTGTTGTGTTTTGTGTTATGTGGTGCGGCAAAATGGAATCCAATCCATTCCAATCCAATGGACGACMATTGGATRCAACACAAGGCAATAATCGATGTACGACAGMAGTCGASATTGGAGCGTGAGAAGAAAGAAAGTTTCTTCCAACCCAAAGAAGAAMAGGCAATGGAACAACAAACAGGCGCTTYTGTTTTGGACTACTTACAAAGCCTTCGCTGGCGTCGAACATCCCGCCAYCCCCWCCGTCTCCTCCGGAACCCGGGTGCGGAATCTGTCCCAGCCGCTGGTTGTCGGGATCGACGTAATCCACCAGCAGGCTGATCCCGTTGTTTTTCTTCTTTGCCGCTTTCGCCATTCCTCCGGCCTCTTCGCCACCCTCACCCCCGACACCATCGRCATCGGGACCACCGTCGTCATCTTCCAGCTCGACGAGCTTGGCYATGAAAATCTTGTCGACGGSCATGCCGGTRGGGTTTTGGTAGTGGTCCCCCGCCAGTCGCCTMGAAAGCTCCACCGAGGGATCTCCCCGRTCGAGCCGGGCCAAGAGGCTCGCGGCTTCCTCGGCCGTCAGCGCAAACCGGGTGGTGGCATCCCATCGGTACTTTCGGCCCGTCCCATAGTCTCCACCGCTACTGTTGTCCATCGGTGCCCACTCGAAGAGGAACCTGCCGCGTTTTCCRGAATCCAACACCACCGTTCCGCTGGCGAGGGCCCGGAACTCGGGTGGGATCGCCTTGATGCTAAACGCCACTTCTTCTCCGTACACGGTATAGGAAGGGYTTCCGATGTTTGGGSTTGYTTGYCGSTTACTGTCGCCGTAAAAGGAGAAGGAACGCCGGCCTTGACGGTGTGTGCGTTGCGGAGGGAGCATTTCTCTTCGCRGGACTGGTCCGCACCACCCATGCGACGAAGCGTGCATTTCTCGCCGTCCCAGGTACGAAAGAAACCCAGCTCGTTGCTTTTGGTGTGTGTCATTGTTTCTCTCTGACCCAAGACTGCTCGCAGCATCGCTAGAGGCGCAACCGAATCTGCAGCGAGAAGCAGCATTCAGGTCGATAACGACAGCTGTAGCTGGCACGAGATTTCTCGTTCGTCGAAGGTGCCACAAGGCCATGGCAGCTTGCGATAATCTCTTTTAGATCTSGCCCACCGAAGATATTATCTGGCAAAAACGAATGATTCAAATTGTCTCTAAGATGCCGGCAAAAATACGAAGGCAGCGACTGATTTTATGTTGCCTGGAGTACGATACTGTTGGAAACGAAGAGTAAAGAAARATACGAAGGGCAGTAAGAGCATTGTCACGTATTCGTGACAAAAGGTATTTTTTTTTGTCGAAGCGTACGGTTCCGTTCCGTAGGGTACTACCTCAACGTACGGAATTGAAGCCGTGATTTAGGATATTCGCATCGCGGCGCGCCATCCCTGTCACAGGACGAGAAGTTCGTACTTCGTAACGGTACGGTACGGTACCCGTCGAAAGAGAGGTAAGGCCCGTATCTACGAGTTTCTAAGGATTCTACAGGGTTTAGATAGATTTCTATTTTTGAAAGCAGTCAGTARTACTACTAGTACTACTAATACAGAGGAAGACAAGCTGCATGAAGTAGGGATAGATTCACCCACCGCTACAACCACGAAAAAGAGGAACAGAAAAAGAATGGAAAATGAGCTTGGTTCAACAATAGCAGAGGAGGCGATGTAAACTCCCGGGGTTGCGCTGTTGCTGCTGGTTGTCGTTACATTGACTACTACTAGTAGTAGATAATATGTCGTTGCTTTCACTAAATCCGACAATGTCATTTTCAGATAAAGCGATAGAAATATGGTGCAAGCTGAGGGTCCGAGCGCTGCAAAAAAATGCGTGAGTGCACACGTTGCTGCTTTTATACAACGCTCTATAAACGTGCTCCTGCTTCTTGTGATTCGCACCACATAAACTAGTGGTGGTGAATAAATATTCCAAAAACTATTGCGTGATTAAAATGCTAAGATTATTCTTTTGTTTTCTACCATGCAAATGGTGCCGTGCAACTACTTCTATATTGTGTTGTCGCCAATCCAGTGAATATGCTAATAAATACACTTCATATATTCCCATGTGTTATTTCTTCCGCGACAGAAAAATAATTTTCAATTTTCTTCAATCCAATGAGAATCACCTACTCCCAATGAAGCTGSTGCCACCCGTGGCCACAGCCAAGAGTATTTCATCGGGTTCGTCGGCCTCGTCGGGCTCTTCGGCATCAGACCCCTCCCCAATGAATTCACCATTTTTCATTTGGTCAATCAAACTTCTCTGCACCTTGTTTTGGTGAATCTTCACGTGTTTGTTGTACTTGGCTTCCTTCGACTTSGCGGTRTCGTACAARGCATCAACAAGGTCGTTACAGATCATCCATGCAACTTCTGTGCTAGGTTGCATCCGGCTAAAATCGTTCTCCTCCCATGATTGGATAATGTCATCGAATTCCAGCGTCCACACCGTGAAGGTGTCCAAAATGACATTCACGTTGACRGAACCCACGTAAGGGGACGTGACCGATTCCCTTGAGTATTTTTCGAGCCATTCTTCTTGGGTCGGCATGTCAGCCAGATCGGAAGAATGGCACAGGACAAGTTCTCTGATGCGGGTGTAGATTGGTTGCGAGCGACGTTTGACAACGTGGCGAAAAAGTTTGGCTTCTTTAGACATTGGATTGGAACTGAAGGCTTCCATAGCCTCCTGCGGAAACATCTTGAACCAGTAGGCTCTTCCCCCTTTTTGCGCTGCTTTCCTCCACGAATGACTCYTGAAATTTTTCATCACTGTTTGGAATTGTGCGAAAATTGTGTTGTGTGTTTTCCAGTGCCGRTGCAACGGACCCACAAAGACGCTAAGTTGTTTTCTGACTCGTTCCAAAGCCTGCTGTCGATCCAGRTCATTTGCGGCCTTCCGATCGGCTTCCTTTTCCTCCTTTCGTTCACGTTTTCGTTGAATGTAGTATCCGACGAGGGATCCCATAACGGTCAGAAATCCCACGCACACCGCCAARAACTCCGGATTKAGGGCATCGAAACCGTTTTCGTCGTCTTCCGAACACGACGACGAGCAACAGCACGGCAAGCACGTTTGATCGCTTTCGTTCGCGGGGTTCATGTTTCCGTTGTGTTGAAACCCGCTTTCGTAGATGGATTCAAATTCAATTCGCTATTCTTTCCTGCGGGTATGCAGAGTAGGCTGAATCATATCAAACAAACGTCTTCTGTATTCAGGATGGACCCATAAATTTGAATTGTGGAGAGTTTAGACACAAGCAACGCATCAGAGCAAGGTAAGACATAAGAGAGACCAATACAAGCGACGGGTTTGTAAGAATGATGAGATTGTTTTTAATTGTAAAGAAATACCGTAGAAATCGAAAAATCTATTGGAAAAAGAATGATCCGCTCGACAAATTCAGCGGGTCCTCCGACTCAATGATTCATTCTTCTGTTGAAAAAACTACAGCACGGTACGGGTACTTGTACGTCGGTATCACTGTACGTTGCGGTACGATACTACCGATAAGTTTTTGGGGGTATGACATTCTAATTCTATCCCCATTTCTACTGCTGTATTTCTACGAATCAAATTCGAAAACACAGTCTACTACTCGTACTGATTGATCCCTGGTACGCACCTTGTCGTACAAGGACTACAAGTACTGCTACTTCATTTGACCCTGTTGGAAAATGAGAATCAACTGAAGAACAAAGTCTGCTGCTAGGTTGCATCCTTCTTGTTTTGGCATTTAGGCAGTGGTTTCTGGACAAGAACCCTAATACTGGTATTATTTTCAATGATCAATATCATCTCTTGGGAAACAGAAAATTCAAAACTAAAAAACCTACAGTATTATTCTAAACATTCTTCACACATACAGCGTAGTTCCGACGTCGAAAAACTTGCTGCCTTCCATGCATGACCTGTATTCTCCCAGACAATGCCTCGTGGTTCGGTCCATCGTCACGCTGGCAGAAGAAGCCTTTCCTCGTCAGCTTTCAGGAGAGCAACTTCCATCGCTCTTTGCCAGGAGACGAATGTTCTCGTGCATGGGCGGGCAGGTTGAAACAGTTACGTGACCCATTCGTTCGGTTTGCGGTGTGCCTTCCTTCCCAGAAATACAGCCCGTCGCCATCCGTTGCTTCCGTGGGTTCCCCTTTTCTAGATTCCGCGCAGGCCATTGGGTGTGGGTATTTTTGGATGGACACCGGCAGCTCCACCGATCGAACGGTCCGTTGCCGGATTCGATTCGATTCGATTCGATTCGATTCGAAACGACCGGGACCCGGGGATGCAGTGCCGTTGCACCCGATCGCTCCTCGTGGGCTGGCAACCGCGTGTGGCTACGCAACGCACACGCCGAGCCTACAGAAACTTGTCCCGCTCGACCCACAGGCTGATCGGCTTGTTGACGGCCAGCCCGGTTTTCTTCGCCAGGGTRAAATCCGTCAGGCCCGTGTACCGATTCGCGTAGGCCACGTCGTCCGAAAGGGTCTTCCGGGGCGGTGTGCCCCCGGCCTCCGGCGGGCCGGTCCCTTCAGAAGGGTCCCTCGCCGGGGTTTCCAGCTTCTCGAGCTGCGAGGCGCCCCGGTAGCGGACCAGGTTGGCCYGGCCGAGCCGGATGGCCCGGTCGCGCTCCTCCCGGACCGCATCGGTCTCCATCCCGTCGTGGTCGGTGGTGTTCTCCAGGTCCGGGCCGTTGTACCGGACGAGGGGCTTGGGCCTGGCCTTGAGGTGGAGCTTGCGGCGGGATCCCTCGGGCGGAACCCCCCGCGTTTTGGCGAGCTTCGCGTTGGCGTTGTCGTTGGCGTTGTTGGTGGCCAGGGACGACGCCAGGACCAGCCGCTTCGTCGCCGCGGGAGGGGTCGGTTCCTCCAAGGGCCTGAGCTTCGCCGCCAACGAGTCCCCGTACCGGACCAGCCTCACCCCCGGYCGCGTCGGATCGACGGGCTCCCCGTCGGTCTCCCTCCGGGAGRTCCGGGCCCTCGTGTCGCCGGCCTGCATCCCGTCCTTTCCGGAGTCGATCGGAAAATCCCGGGGCTTGTAGCTGGTCACCATSAGCGGGGCGTCGACCCCGCCGGCCGCGTGGGAGCGGTTCATCAGCGCCCCGGTCCCGTTTCCGTCCACGTYCATGGAGACGGCGGACGCGACCGGCCGCTCCGGAGCCGCCGGGAGGGCATCCGCCGGCGGCGAGGRAGTTTCGCTGGATTCCGACCCGGGGGAGGCTTCGGAAAAGGTGATCGAGTCCAGAAAGTCGTCGTCGTTTTCGTTGGCTTCGTCGTTGGCTTCCGTCTCGGGTGTCTTTCTCGTCTTTTCGACGGCGGTGGTATCGATGGCATCGCTCGAGGCGGTCGAGGCCGGCGTGGGTGCCGTGAAAAAGTAAACGTCGTCGTCGCTGCCGTCGTCGATGCCGTTGGTGGGAGACGACAGGAGGGAGGAAATCCGAACGGGGGCCGGYCGTCCCACGAAATGGCGTCCCACCGCAAAGGCCGAGGTTTCCGTGGACGACAGCGAGGCGCACACCGCTGCCAGGAGGAGGGATTTCCTGCCCGGGGCGYTGGAGTTGTTGYTGGTGGYGGCGACRCTGGCWGTAGCAGAAGCAGCCGCCCGGGAGGCTTGCGTGGTGCGGGGGCGTACGGGCATGGTCGTTCCTTCTCCTTGGTTTCGTTTCGCTAGGTTTCGTGCTGGTGGTAGGTAGTGATGATGGCGCTTCGACTCGACTCAACTCGACTCGACTCAACTCCACTTGCCCGGATGATGCGACAGAGAGAGTGCAATTCTTGTTGTGTGCGAAATTTGGCACACAACTGCGTGTGGTGTAAATCGATTTCGTCGCTGCTTGGAAAAAGGCGAAGACGGAATCACCCCGATGGATAGTGGCGGCAGATGGTCGAAGGCAAGGCAAACCGTACGGTACCGTATTGTCTTTCCTCGGTTGCAGCGTGCTTGCATCAACAAAATCGTTCGGAATGTGCCGTGGGGCAGCTGATGATGCAACCTTCGCGCTTATGTGTRMSGMTTYTGCTACGAGTATCGTACCGTACGGCGTTTGCTACGAGTGTTTGAGCTGAGTTGTTGGTCGTGGTGATGATGTAGTGTTCACGGTGATGGATGGCAGCATTCGAATCGTACGGTATCGTACAGTTCATTCGGTTACCCGTACCGTACGCTCKTACCGTACGGCGCATGGCGGTCCGGGAGAAAGAATTAGAATTTTTTTTTAWAACGGTGTCATCATGGTACGATTACCTAGTGCGAAGCACGAGGCACATCATGTACGTACTTCTTTTCACAACGGCAAAGTATGATTTAAGTGCCTTACTACGCACGGTATGTACCGGTACGGTTTGGACCAGTACTAGTAGTACGTAGTCGGCAGGCTCTGCTTCCTTGTGATTTGGTTTTGTGAGTTGTACCGTACTTACGGTACGTACCAGTAGGCTCTTTTGTTTCGAGAGCTCGATTACTTTTCTTTTTCCGAAAATCGTTTTGTGATGACGTAATCACGAGATGCGACGGCCAACCGGCGCACGCCATTACCCAATCAGAACCGATTGGGCCCCGACCGTGCAAAATCCTAGATTCCCCCCGTTTGGAAACCAGCTGCCCCCCTTTGATTCAACATCGTCGGTGCGACAAACCTTCTGCTTTGCATTCGAGTCGCGAAGCTTCGCTTTCGTGCTACAYACGATCCATGGCAGTTGATGTCAATACAGTTCGTACCAGTAAATAAGGAAAGTGATGGAACAATGATTTTCTCCGTTTCTGGACCCTTATGTAATTCCTAGGAAGTACTACTTAACGCCTATGCATTGTAGCGATGCCTAAGGCTGCAAATGAACAGTGAAGAAAAAATATATCATTAAACTTCCGGGAATAACACTGCAATTTCCCATTTTCGTTTAGGGTKATCGTGTGTATTTGCACCCGATGGTTTCGTTTCGTTTCAAGAACAAAGAGGAAGAACAACGATAAACTCCCCTACATGAATAACAAAAACATAGAACTCGGTTCTATCGTAGTCACACCAAAAAATCCTGATCGCATCTGGAACATCGTCCAAATCATAAACGCTAGGATTTAGAACCGGGTTGGAATCGCTGTGTTACACTGTAACACTTTTCTATTTTTTAGAACGGAACCAGACAAGACGCATCCAAATATTTCGCCGTGACATCGCTGTTCGAAAGCGAAGACTGTGGCCTGCGAAAACCAAGATCGGATCGCATCGAACCRAGTCCATCGAACCAAAGCGGATCACTCCATCGACGCCTGCTAGCAACCCACAAAAGACCACTCCACTCCACTCCACACAAAACCACTCTACACAAAACCACACCAGCAGCGATGGAACCCCCCGCCGAGTGGCCCCCCCAGGTGCGAGAGTCGTACGAGCCGCTCAGGGTCCTGGGGGTCGGCGGCTTTGGATCCGTCGTCCTTGCCAGGGAGACCAAGCCGCCCCCGGAGGCACCGGCGGACGGAASAACACGCCCGAAAAAGGTGGCCGTCAAAATGGTCGGCGCCGTCGGCAACAACAAGGACGACTACGACGACGAGGAACAACAGGACATGGCGGTCTTGTACGCGCGGCGGGAGATCGAGATCCTCCAGCACGTCTCGCACCCGGGCATCGTCCGGCTCTTCCACCACTGGATCGTCGAGAAGGAAACAGCGTCCGACCAGGCCGCCGCCGCCGTCCTTGTCCTCGAGTACGCCAAGGGACCGACCGTGGAATCCCTTCTGAAACACGGCGGGGCCCTGTCGACGACCTTCGGCCAGGTCGTGATTGCGCAGGTCGTCGAYGCCCTTGCCTACCTCCACTACCGCGCCGTCCTGCACCGGGACATCAAGCCCGACAACATCCTCGGTACGTAGCAAACGCCAACGCAAAAAGGGRCAGGGYGGRCCGTCCTGCCGRTYTGTCTGCCTGCCTGCSTGCCGGTATTTCTGTCTTGAAATCGCTTCGGCTTGAAGGCCACYGCATTCGTSTACCATCCCYGTTGCCGAAACAAACAGTCTTGTGTTCTCCAATTGTCACTCTCTCACCCACTACCCATCCCAACCTACTTGTTGGAATCATTGATTCCCACCAACTCGCGGTGATCTGTTGCGAAACCTACAAACAAAACCAAAAAAATTAACGAAACAAAACAAAACAAAACAAAACAAACGAACAAATCGACCCGCTTCTAGTCACGGGGGCCCTCTCCTCGGACGCTTCCATCTGGGACAACGACGACGAGCACGACCCGTCGGAGAAGCCCGACTGGGCCGCGCTGCGGAAAAAGTACAAGGTCACGCTCATCGATTTCGGCTTCGCCCGCGCCCTGACACCGGGCGACGTTGCCAAGCCCAACCAGGAAACCATGAAAAAGGACGCCAGRCGGGCGAGCTACCACGAGCTCCTCCTCAACGAGAACGCCAAGGCAGGGGCCAGCGGGGAGGAAAAGGACCTCAGCGAGTCGARRCGCAAGAGCCTCCTGGGGTCCTCCATGGGCCGGTCGATCCGCAAGCGCCTCAGCGGCCTGGCGGGCGGCGACTCGATCGACAAGAGCAACCGGAGCGCGATGAGCAACGACAGCCTCGGGTGGTCCAGAAGGAGCGTGTCCCACGGGCTCACGAGGACCATGTCGACGCTGGGAAACAGGTAAGCGCATGTGTGTGTGTGTGTGCGTGTGTGTGTCTGTGCTTGTGTTTCCTTTTTTCCGGGTGTTGGTTCTTCTTTCTCGGATGGATGGACGGATGGAATTCGGATTGGACGATCGGGGTGACACTCATTCAAGTTCTTTCTYCGTTGCAACCTGTTTCGATACGGCATGTTTTCCTTGTTTCGCTCCCCCCAAAACAGAAACTTTGCCGCGCCGGAAATCATCAACAACGTTCGCAAGAGCCCAAAGGACAAGGCCAGCACCGGAGGTTCCAAAGCAACACCCGGTAGCTCGGAAACCGACGGCAAAGCCGAGGCCTCCGAGGCCCCCATCACCGAGACCATCCTGGAATTCGTGGCGGACTACGGCCTGCTGGTGGACTCGTATTCCCTCGGGCAGGCCATCAAGTACATGATGACGGGCGTCCACCCGGGCAGGGACCTGGGGGAAGCGATCCGGAGCCAGGAACGGAGGGGCCTCCTGGGGTCGCTCTGCCCGTGCCTCGCAAGCCGGGAGGCTTCTTCCCCGAAAAAGCGGTCCGTCCGGTACCGGAGAATGGACGACCTGCCCGGCAAGATCTTCGTGCTGATCGGCCTCCTGCTGGAGGTCTCGACGCAGAAGCGGGTCTCGGTCCGAAAGGCCCGGCAGATCGAGTGGATCGACGAGATCCTGGCGGCGGGGGAGCCCAAACCACCGGTGCGTGTGGGTGCTTGCGCTCCGGGAAAGCGGGGGTTCAAGGTGTCTGTTTGCTTGCTTGCTCGCTCGCACACACTGTCCCTCACTCTTGTCGTTTTCTTTTTTTCGTTTGTTCGTTCGTTCGTTCGTTCATTCGTTCCGTTTTCCGCTGTTTCGCTTCCAGGAGGACGGGACCCGCCTCTACGCCCTGGACAAGCTTTCGTACCTGCCCTTTGCGGAAGGCTCGGCAAACGCCACCCCCGGKGTCCAAGCGGGCCACTGAGCCCCGGTCCTTGCGTGGGTTTCGTTTCGTTTCTCTCTGTATTTTGTAGTAGTATATTTGTATATCCTGGATCGCAATCCATCTACTAGCAGCTGCTGTCACAACACTGCTACTGCGATACCTCTGCTTCCGCCGCCACTACTACTATAAAACATACTAAAATCCATTTACGCAATACACAATCTCTAAACGGCCTGATCGAGAGAGCCGCAACGGAAGTGCTGGAAAAGCACGGGTCGGGATGTTGTACCACGATATTAATTGTTCAACAACAAAAAGCCTCCTTCCTCTTTTCCCACAATGTGTTGCTCCACTGTTGGGTGGGATAAGAGCTACTACTAGTAGTAGTACTATTATTAGTAACTTAGCTAGCTAGTAGTTTTGTTGTCCATCGGACAGCCAGAAAACCCGTGCAAAATATTCTGTGACAGAGAGAAGAATTGATTGATTCGGAGTTCTTGATTGAGGAGCAACCGATTGCCATACTGTACTGTACGGTAAAGTACCGTACGCTACCATTTCGTTGACACTGTACGTACCGTTCCGCAGTATCGTATACTCCTACCTATGCGGTGTTGTAGATCCGAAATCCTTCGCTCCCCTTGTCGGACAGACCAAAAAAGCTCTCGGAGGGAAAAAGAAAAACGAGAACACAAACGCAAGGACAACCTCGAGAAGCACCACCACCACCACCACCACCACCATAGCAACAGCAACAGCAACAGCAACAGCGACAGCAACAAGCACCACACGACAAGAAGCACCACCACGGCAACAAGTATTTCTCGCGGTCCTTTCTCGCCGCCCATGAACCCCGGACAAGCACCGAACCGCCTCTGTCGCTGCTGCGTTCGGGGATCCTTGGAGGAGGGCATTGTCATTGTCATTGCCATTGCTCGGGTGGACCCGCGCCGCTTCCGTTCTCGGTCTTTCTTGGCCACCGCTGGGAGCGACCGGACCGATCGACCGCAGGGATGAATGCTTCGGCGACCCAAGGGAACGCCCCGTCCGAAGTCGACCGGAACGAAAAAGAAGAAGAAGACGAAGAAGAAGAAGACGACGACGACGAGCCCGAGGTCTTGTTCGTCTCCGGTCCCGGACACCGGCGATACCATGGCCACGGAGGTTTTGGGGGGGAAGGGCATCCCCCGCTCGGGACGATCCGTGGCGGCGACGCGACCAATCCCATCGAGCTGATCGATCTGATCGACACCGACGACGACGAAGAAGACGACGACGAAGAGGCGGAGGAAGAAGAAGAAGAAGCCGACGACGACGACGAGGCCAAGCTCCCGCCACCGGCTTTCGAGAGAAGAAGGAGGGACGAAGCCGCAGCGGTTGCCACGACCACGGATGCTGCTGCGGTGGCCTCTGCAGTCGCGCACAACAAGAACAAGAACTTTACCAACAACAACAACAACAACAACAACAACATAGACTACGACGACTCCTCCGCTGCTCTTGCGGAACTGGAACTGGAACTGGAACTGGAGCACGAGAACGACAACGACAACGAGAGCAACGAGGACGCGCCGGACCTCCGGAGGCACTGCTGGGCCTGCCACCTGTGGGTCCACCACCCGGGGCTGGCGCCACCGGCGGGCCGGGAGCACCAGGTGTGCCACTCGGCCCTCCACCTGCACCCGACCCTGGGGGTTCCCGTCTGCGTCGTCTGCACCGAGGCCATCGAGGACCGGGAACTCAGGCTGGCAAGCAGGCAAAGGCAAACGCGAAAGCAGCGGAAGCAGCAACAGCAACAGCGGCACGGGGGAGGAGCAGACAAGGACGCGGACGCCGACAACAGCAAGAGCAACAGCAAGAGCAACGACGAAAGCGAAAGCGAAACCGACAACAAAACCGATGGAGCACGAAAGGATCTCTCCGTGGGCTGCAGTGCCTGTGGAAAGTCCGTCGATTCCGGAGACCTCTCGAGCTGCGGTGTGTGTTTCAGGGCCATTTGTTCGAGATGCTCCCGGCAGGCCCGAAACGGCGGGCGAAGCGAGGGGCACAGGGACGGGAAAAACAGCAACAGTAGTAGTAACAACAACAACATCAACAACAACAACAACGGTGACGACTACGACAACGACCCGCGGAGCTGCATTTTCTGCCCGTGCGTCCGWCAGCTCCAAAAGGAGCGGGACTCCGACAGCGAGGCCGAGGCCGATGCGTGCGCCGACGCCAACACCGCCGGGGAGACGCCGGGCCTGCCCGGTTTCCTCCGAACCCTCCGGACCGCGACGCGAAACCTCTTTTCGAGCTCCTTTTCCTCCCCACACGAGCAGAGCCTGGAGGACCTCCTCGAGGAACTCGACTACCTGGAGAMGGAAAAACTCTCCTGCGAGTCCAGGCTGGAGCGCGAGGGGGACCTCCTCGMRGARCTCCGGCGGGARATCCTCGACGAACGAASGGMRGATGCGGAGGCCGGACCCACCAAAACGCCGCTGGACATCGAAGGACTCGTCGGAGARCGWCACGGGGAATGGATCGACCACCAGGCGCGGCTGCTGGACCGGATCAGCATCCTGGGAGACCTTCTCAAGTCACGCTTTGGAATCGAGGCCCACGCCGCCTTTTTGTTCCTCCGCGAGCGGCGGTGGGATTCTTCCGCCTGGGGCCGGCGGAAGCGGGGCAAAAGCGTGGGCGAAAGCGAAAGCGACGACAACAACAGCGACAGCGACAGCGATGCGGACGAACCTCCCTGGAAGAAAGCCGCGGACCGGGCCATCGAGAAACGGGCAAGGGCGGAACGAAAGGCCCTGCGAAAGGAGGAGCGGTCGAAGCACCCTCCCCCMCAAACACCCCGGCCGAAGGGCTTTGGGGCCGACGCGGACCCCGAGGACGCCGAGGACCTGGGGAGCACCAGCAGCGAGTCGGGGGGCCACAAGACCACCACCGACGACAACGACAACAACCACGACAACGATAACGACGACTCCTCCGCCTCCTCCGCCCCGGACCTCTTCGACCTCGGCTGGAGAAAGACCCGGTCCCGGGCCACGCCGGAGGAGGTCCGCAGGGCGAGGCACGCGGAAGACCGCCGGAGGGTGGAGGAGGGCAACGTKAGGCTCGTCGTCCGCAGGGGGAGGGCCGACCGGGACGAAAAAAAGCGCTGGGACGCCGGGCTCGTCTCCTCGATCCCCCTCGCACCAGGGATCCTTGGCCGCCGCTCCCGCTCCCGCTCGAACCAGGGGAAGCGGTCCCTGCCGATTCGGACCATCTCCCTGGTGGATTCCACCGGCCACCGCCCTCCGCAGGGAAGGGCCCCCCTTCCCAAGCGAGGAAAAGGAAAAGGCCGCAACTCCTTTTCGTTCCGGACCGAACCGGACCGTCCGGACAAGATCCGCACCCTSACCGGGAGGTCCAAGAGGGAGAGGAGCGGCTTTGTGCACTCGTCCCTGGTTTTGTCCAAAAMCCCGCTCATCACGGTCGACCAGAGGATCGAGAAGCACCTCAAGGACCACCAGAGGGAGGGCATCGAGTTTGTCTTTCGAAAGGCCTTTGCCGACCTGGGKGGAAGCGGAGAGGAAGCTTCCGTCGGGGGCTGCATCCTCGCCCACTCGATGGGACTCGGTAAGAACACAAAGGAATGGATAAAAACACRGGCAGTGCACACCTGCCTCCATTTTTATCGGTTGGGTGGGTGCTTCAAGGCCTTTCTCGSCGGCGTTCGTTCCCACACTCACACWCACACACACCCGCGTCGTCTGTCCTCTCTCTTTTTGGGTGCTCGAACGGAACAGGCAAGTCCCTCACGTGCATTTCGCTCCTGCATTCCGTGATGCTCCAGCCCTCCCTGACGGATTCCGGGAGGCGCCGCGGAACCATCCACAAGGTCCTCCTGGTCGTCCCCGTCAACACCCTTTGCAACTGGGAGGAAGAGTTCGAGAAGTGGACGGGGGGGATGGAGAAGCATTGCCGGCTCCCCGTGTGGAACGTGTCGGGGGCCGAGCCCTCGACCCGACCCCTGCTGCTAGGGGAGTGGGAARACAAGGGGGGCGTCCTCCTCACCTCGGACGCCCTCTTTCGGAACATGGCCAAGATCGAGGCCATCGCGGAGCGCCTCGGGGACGCCGACGCCGTGGTGTCGGACGAAAGGTACGTACGTAATGTCACGTCACGTCACGTCACGTCCGCCGGCCCACTCGCCAACACGAACGACTCCCGGCGCGGCGGTGGTGGCGGCCTTGCCATGCGCCCTTTTTCTCTCACACCCACCCATCCGTTCTTCTTGTTCCTTGCCTTCGTTCGCCCCTGCCCCTTTCCTTTTTGAAAACGCAACAAATACAACAACAACAACAACAACAACAACAACACAGCCACATAATGCTCAAGAACAAGGACAACCTCGTTTATAAGGCGTTTATGACAATCAAGACCAAGCGGCGGATCTGCCTGACGGGGACGCCCTTCCAGAACAACCTACTGGAATACTACCGGATGATTTCCTACATTCGCCCAAACCTCCTCGGAAGCTCGGAAAGGGAGTTCCTCAGGGAGTACAGCGATCCGATCCACGCCGGGATGGGRACGGACGCTCCGGAAGACAAAAAGGCCGAGGCCGACGGCCTCCTGGAATCCTTCTTCGAGACGCTAAGGCCCTTTGTCCACCGSAGGGACGCCTCCCTCCTGCTCAGGGACCTCCCCTCGCTCCAGCAGGTCGTCCTCCACCTGAGRCCCACCAAGGTCCAGCGGGCGCTCTACCGGGCCTACAACGARCACCAAAAGGCCGCCAACGACAGGAACTTTCTGAAGCGATTCGTGACCCTCCGCTCGGTGCACAACCACCCCGGAACCCTCCTGCCGGACCAACGSGACAACGACCCCTCGGCCCCACGAAGGCTCTCCGCCGGGAGCAAGCACTCCGCGACCGGACGCTCCTTTGCGGAGACAAAGATCGACCGTTTCCCGGCTGCCGGCGGCGGGGCAGCGAAACCGCCCGGCAAAGAATCCAGCGATTCGGTCATTGAGATCTTGTCGAGCTCCGACGAAGACGACACGGACGGATACGAGACCTGCACAGAAGGCACCAGGGAATGGTGGACGAGGGTTGCCARCACGTTCGGTACCGACGCGATGAAGGACGTCGAGAGGTAGGCAATCGTCTGGCACGGGGCCCGCCTCCCGCGGGGCATCGGTCTTGTGGTTTTGGATTTGTTTGGTTTCGTTCTTTGCCGTCCTTGTCCTAACGAGATCGTTGCGACTGTTTTTTTGYCATTCTTTTCAACATTGGATTCATTGAAAGCGGTAACAAATGCATCCTTCTTTTGCACATACTAGCACATGCAGACGAGATGGGAGAGAAAACCGTTGTGTTTAGCCAGAGTCTGAAGGTATGTATGGTATCAATAGCGAGAGAAAACAACGMGTTTGCAAAGAAGGRGACTGYGCTTTCTAACGCTGCCGAAACACTGCTTTCTTCGTTTGGATACCGACGTTTAGACGCTCGATTTTTTGTCGGAACTCCTAGCGTCGAAGGATTGGCACAARCTGTGTCCGTCGCTGGATAAGTCCTTCCCATRKCGAAAAAGGGGGGGKTGGATAAAGGGAAGAGACTTTCTCCGGATCGATGGGGCGACACCCGGGGACGAGCGAASGGAGCTCTTGCGAGATTTCGTCGATTTCAAGTGTYTCAAGCTGTTTCTGATCAGYTYGACGGCCGGAGGTATAGGGATCAACCTCGTTTCGGCCAATCGTGTCATTCTGTACGTGGACGGTTGCTGTGCAATTGGCGTGCTCGTGCCACTAGGCGGTTGGTATACTCATCTCATTTTTTTTCATACTCTCTGACCATCGGCTCTTGTAGATTCGACAGCCACTTCAATCCATCGATCGATATACAGGCCATATATCGCTGCTACAGGTATGGYCAGCAGCGAAACGTGTTTGCCTACAGGTTTTTGACCCAGGGTTCTATGGAAGAGAAGGTTTACTCCAGAGCMGTATCCAAAATCGGGCTCGGAAACCGAGTCATCGACGGCAAGGAGCTTCGTCGYTGTTTCAGAAAGGACGAGATCGACTCACTGGGAAAAGAGGACGACTGGGTCGAGTGTGTTCGGTGTCGGCAGTGGCGCATGTTCCCTCCGGGCCACACCGCAGACATTGCTAACCTTCCCGACGAGTGGTACTGCGAAATGATGGACGAGCACGATGCCCGGATGAACATGACCTGCGGCTTTGAAGAAAAAGATTCGGTTTGGTACGATCGTCACTTCAAGAAACCAAACGTCARGATCTCGCTCCCGTCCAACCCCGGAGCCACCGCCACCGAAGCATCCAGCAAAATATCGGCGGCACAAAGCGATGAGCTCGTCGAAAAAGACGAAATCCTGAAAAAGATCCTGTCGATTCCGACGAGATCCAAGAAGGCTGCCCTCATTGTAAGCAAGCACTACTTTCACGAAGCTCTTGTGTCCGACTTTGATCCCAGCAAAACCACAGCAACGAACACGGCGGCGACAATCGCGACGGCTGAAGGTGCAAGGGATCCAAAARRGGACACGGAGGTTTCGTCCACTCTGGAAGGAAACAGTATGAAGGGCAGCGACGAAGAGAAAAAGGAGTCTGCAACTCTCAAACAAAACAGGAAAAGCGATGACGAGACGACGAACAAACGAAAATATGCSACAAGTAGAATGCASAGTCAGAAAAACCTCGATACCCCTCGACCTGGTCAGATGCGATTTAAAAAATCAAAAAACACAGCAAACATGGAACGGGTTACGGGTACTGAGTTGTCTACACGGAGACTAAGTCCAGTCAATTCGAGTGACGATGAGTTGTACTTTTAGAGCACTTGCTGTTTGMAAGAAACCGTGCTCCGAAACATTATGAGCGTTTAGAATCAGGCGATAGACTCTAAATTATCGTCTTCCGGCTACAACCTGCTTCTTGTAGTCCTCAAATGCGTCCTTGTTTGACCGTCCCCCCTGCAAAACTTGTACTTTTCGATTTTCAACAACTAATAGAGTCTTGCATACGCTTGTCARCAAATGYTGGTCGTGGCTTACTAGCAAGACTCCACCCTTGAAATTGCGGATTGCTTCGATCAATGCTTCGGTAGTTTCTAGATCCAAGTGGTTTGTTCTTCGCATTTTTGAAGGGAATGCATTCAGTGTKGAATAGAGACGAAAAGCACAAAAATTTGTGAGAGGAGTTTGCAATGGCTTGTATTTGTATCRAGTGGTACCAGACCAACTTACGGTTCGTCCAGCACAAGCAGGTGAGGTTTCCGGTACATGGCACAGGCCAGACAGAGACGACATTTTTGTCCCCCCGACATGGTGTGGATTTTTTGCACCGGGAGAACCGTTCCACCCAGACCAAAGTTTGCTAGATACCGCCTAAGTTCCCCGATGTGAGTGTTGCTCCGATCACCGGGATAACGATCGACCATCGTCGATAGAGGTGTTCCGTCCGGATCGAGTTGCTCGAGCTGGTGCTGCGCGAGGTACTCGATTTTGCATCTGGGGTCGATCTTTGCTTCTCCCGACAGTGGCTTCAAGCCACCAACACACAGCTTCACGAGGGTACTCTTTCCGCATCCATTCCTACCCAGGAGAGCAATTCTTGAGKTTAGATCGACGGTTAAATCTACACCCTCCAAGAGAATGTTGGATTGGTCGTATCCGAACTTGACCCGCTCCAGCTTGATCATGTCCTTATCAAATGATCCCGGATCGGGAAAGTTCAACACGACTTCTTCCTCCTCCTCGACTTCTTCTACCTCCTGRGCGTCACCRTCGTATGAGGCCTTCCATCGCTTGCCGTCCTGGGCCRTCACACCAATTTTATCAAGTTTCTTCATCCTAGATTTCCGTTGTTTGCTAGCCTTGACGCCATTCTCGCCAGCTTGAGCATGTAAGTCAATATATTTCTGGAGGTGGGCTCGCTTCGCTTCCTGCTGCTCTCGCTGGCGTTGCTGGCGTATTTTGTTTTCGACAATGACCGATTCGTAATTTGTGATATCTCCTCGGTAAGTTGCTAGTGTATTGTTGTGAAAGTGGACAACATCGGTCACAATCTCGTTCAAGAAATGCCTRTCGTGAGATACAACTACTAGTGTTCCGGTAAAAGTTTTGGTCAGGTAACGCTCTAGCCAGAGGACTGCCTCTAGATCAAGGTGGTTKGTCGGTTCATCCAAGAGCAGCAGGGAGGGATTTGCAAAAAGAGCGCAGGATAGCGATACTCGCATTCTCCACCCACCACTCAGTGCAGAGGTAGGCTTGTCTTGCATTTCTTTCGTGAATCCAAGTCCAGATAGAACCTTCCTTGCCCGRGGTTCAGGATCCCCTCCTTCGAGCTGCTCGATCTCGCTCATGCGTTGGTGGGCCCGTACCAATTGCTCACGGAGTTTCTTGCGGCGGTCGTCCTTTTGGGATTCTGTCATTGTGGATACGTTYGTGTTTCCGGTAGATTTCTTGTTCTTTTTGTTGGCCTTGAGGGCTTTCCGTTGTTCGAGGGTAAGTTTCTTGCGATCTTTTAGGCGCTGTCGACGTTCCTTCGCCGACTCTTTTGTTTTGCTCTTTGAAGCAGGTTGAGTTTCGTCATCACTGTTATCCTTGTCGCCGTTCCCGGGGTCTTTGCTTTCATCGGCAGCTGGGGGATTGTCGAGCTTGTCGAGTTCTTGATCGATCCAGGCAATATACTTCTTGCACGATTCGCGTTGGACATCACTCTTCAAGACGGTATCTACGGCTGACCATTCATTTCCTATAATCTCTTGGCGGACGAGTAACATTCGAACGTTCGTAGGAACTCCACCGTCCGTATCGTCGCAATCTATTTGTCGCTTGCTTAGGGCTGTCAAAAAGGTTGTTTTCCCGCAKCCRTTCCGTCCCATGAGACCGTAGCGCCGTCTAGAGATTGGAAAAAGCAGAAATTCTGTGAGAGATTGTTGRWATGCACGTCATAATTATATGAACATACATTAGCGCTAGTTCTTGTAGGGAACCAAGGATAAAGATAGAGAACACTCCTGTTTCCCTCATTGAGACGTACCCCCGCGCCAGGATGAGAYTTGCTCCCGACAGTAGATTGGGTCCACCACCGCGGAGGTTTGGAAGATCAAAGTTGAGTAGCCGCACATCTCTCATTTGCGATTCATCGGACATTGTGGCRTCGGTGCCATCGCTATTTAGACGTTGTTCATTAGCGTGTTGGTCGTCAGAATTTTCGCCGGCCTTCAATTGTTCGAACATGTTCATTGCTTCGTTGATTGCACGCTGYCKTTCTTCTTCCTCCAATTGAATTCTCAATTCTTTCTGTCGAGCCTTGCGGCGATTGCGTTCCGACATAGCATGTTCGTTCTGTTCTGGATCGATCATGTTGGCAAAAAAGGCGGCAATCTTGCTGGTGCCACCTGCACTTCCGTACGAGTTTCCGATAGCATCGTCTTCTTTCACCTTCAGTCCCATTGCAAATGTTTCGACGTCCTTTTCTTTCATAGTAATGGTCTGGCTGAGTTTTCTCAGGCCACCGGGGTTGTTTTGGGCGTTGCTRCTGTTGCTATCACCACTGCCGTTTGCCTTGTCGTTCTTGTTTGGATCGTTCAGATCCAAAAGAGCAAAGAACGATTCGCACACGCTTACTCCATCGACAGCTTCTTCCGACAATGCATCCACTATCAAATCACGAACGGCACTCCTCGCATCTTCGTCAAATGGATCTTCTGTCAATACGCCTGAAACATAGGCGATTGTGTCTTCGTCGAGATTCTGGATTCCCTCAACGCTCGAAAGGGCACCGGATACGAAATCGCTCTCGTTGCTCATTTTTGCAACAGAGGTTTTATTCGGATGCGTATTTTATTTAGATGCGTATAGTCAAAAACTCAAAATGCAATTTGTTCTGCAGCTTTCGATGCAGATACTTGATGCASAGTGTGATCCGGTTGCGGCATTGATAACACTGAACGTACTCGTAAAAAATACTTGCAGCGATTTTTGAGATGATCGGGTACGATGGGGCTGCGTGACGTTTTTGTGAACACTTGGTTTTGGTGCATTCCTCTCATCACTCGGGACTGGATCTTGTTCGTGATTGATTCCGGCTTTTATTGGACTTACGGTAGGTATCTTTTTGTTCGTCAAAAAAACGATGCAAAAATCTTCCGTGAGATCATGAGTTCGTACRCTACTCGTACGTACGGTACTCGTGCCATGAGTACAGAGTACTACCCAGTAATACGAAGTTAAGAAAGACTAGTAGGATACATCTCGAAGATGTTAGGGTAAGGGTCAAAGGTGATTGTATCTCGAATGAAAAGCAATATATTCGCTTGAGACAAAAGAAGTGCAATAAGGAATCAGATCATCGAACATCGTTCTACGAGTAGTATCAAGTAAGGGGAAAACAGAATCCATTGCTTGTGGTCTAATGAGACTACTAAGCAAACAAATGAAATGACGAACGCCTCTAGTCAGAGCGTGCCGTCGTATTCGAACGTCATGTTACATGAAAACGGCTTTGGAGGAATGCACGCCAATGAATTTAAAAACCTGACCTGTCTTATCGAATAGTATTGATACCKGTACAATACATACCAGGAACCAACCTGTGTCTCTGGGCGAATAATATAACAACGAATTTGCAGTGCGTAGTAAATCTTGAATTTTGTAATGTTGGATAACATTATGACCATCAACTCAACAAATAGTAACGAAAACATTGCCCTCGCAGCATCGTGAAAAAGTGAATCCTCTTTCCATTTTCAAACATGAAGAAGATCACCACCAACTGACGATTGATAAATAAGCAAGTTTTAGAGGCATCCCAACACGTTTTGGCGATCAAAAGTGAGTTCACAGGCTATGGGTCAGCTGCAATCGGGGCWCGTGGCTATTTTATACGCACCTGGTGCTGCATTGATATCAAAGTAGAAGATCATCTCCATTACACGGGTGTCTCGATGAAGTTGTTGTTGTTTGGG